ACTCTGTAAACCGCTTAGAGAGGGCTGAAAGCCCTATGAAGCGGTATATAAGTCTAACTGCTATTGCTATAAGTTGAGGACTGCCTGTAAGCTTGCATCTGATTTTTCTGGAAGGCGGGGGGCTAAAATAGCCATGGTCCACCTCTTTCCCCGCATTTGTACCCCAAAGTAAACAAGGATAGTCTGCATTTATTTTATTCGTGCCTTTCTTTATCCGCTCGATTCAACCGAATGATTCTGGGTGATGTACCATTCTGGGTTTTTTTTTTTGGTACGTGTGTGTTTATGATTTCGCCCCCCTCCCCCCTGGACAGAGTGAACGACAGCATCCTCTTTGTGAACGATGTGGACGTACGGGAGGTGACCCACAGCACAGCGGTGGAGGCGCTGAAGGAGGCCGGCTCCATCGTGCGACTCTACGTCATGCGCAGGAAACCGCTGGCGGAGAAGGTGATGGAGATTAAGCTGATCAAAGGCCCTAAAGGTGAGACACACACACACACACCCGCTCTGCCCCCTCCCCCAGGGACCTTATATTCCTTCTCTTTAGGGCCTCTGTCGCTTCGATGGACCCCAGTTCCCAATTGGATGAAGCCACATTACCCTAAATCAATATTTCTCATGTCTTTTCTCCTATCCCCTAAAGCAGATTGAAGAGAAAAGGATTACAAGAGAGTATGCAGGCCACAATAGCAAAAGGAATGAATTAATGCTAGGGAATTCTGGGAGTCCACCTACCTTCAAGTTGCCAAGGTTGACAAGCACTGTCCTTTTATCCTCAAGGAAAAAGATGTTCTCCATCCCACCACCCCTAGCGAGGCTAATAGAACCTCCAGTGGCAGGCTCAGTGTATCTGGGCACAGTGAAGGGCTACCTTTTTTCTGAAAAGTCCATTCTCCTTGGTTGGAGGCCTTCAAGTTATCCAGATGCTCATGTTGCACAGTGGATCCTGGTGTGGTGGTGGGAAGGAGCGGGTTAGACTAGATGACCTTAGAGATCGTCTTCCAAATCTAACATTTGCATGGGACCTTCTTAAAATTGTGAAAAGGAATTCAACCCTGTTTCCTCCAGATGTTTTCACCTGGCGTGCTCCCTGCTCTCCACCCTTCTCTAGTCTCTCACTGAGAAGATGACCTCCTTGCCAAGGTTCTTCTCTGATCTTCCTCACAGGGTTGGGCTTCAGCATTGCGGGTGGTGTTGGAAACCAGCACATCCCTGGGGACAACAGTATCTACGTCACCAAAATCATTGAGGGCGGGGCGGCCCACAAGGACGCGCGGCTGCAGATCGGGGACAAAATCTTAGCGGTAAGGCCTGGTGGGTAGGTTGGGCTGTCCTACAAGGACTTCATTTCCCCCCCCCAAATCTAGACATAGCCAAAAACAGTTCATTTCAGTTGAGATTCAAATGGAGAACAGAAGAGAGATCTGGCCAACTTAGTCATAATGCTTGAGATATCTTCAGTTCAGTTCAACTCGACTCAACCCAACTGAATCCAATTTAACTTAACTCAATCCAACTCAACTCAACCTAACTATTCAGCTCAGCTTAATTTAACCTTACTTAACCCAACTCAAGTCAAGTCAACCTAATCTTTACTCAACCCAATTCACCTCATTCAACTAAATCTAATTTAACCTTACCCAGCCCAACCCAATTCAACCCAATTGAATCTGACCAAGCCCAACTCAGCTCATCCCAACTCAGTTGAAGTTAATCTAAACTCAACCAAACTCAACCCATCCCAACACTTTAACTCTACTCAACCTGACTTAGCCTTACCCAAGCCAACAACCCAACTCAATCCAATTTAACTTTACCTAACCCAACTCAACTCATCCCAACTCAATTGAAGTTAATCTAAGCCAACACAACGCAACCCAACTATTTAACTCTCCTAACTCAACTCAATTTAACATTACTCAACTCAACCTTCCCCAGCCCAACCCAACTCAACCCAATTGAATCTGACCAAATCCAACTCAACTCAGCCCAACTCTTTAATTCTACGCTACTCAATTTAACCTTACTCAACTCAACCTAATTTAACCTTCCCCAGCCCAACCCAACTCAACCCAATTGAATCTGACCAAACCCAACTCAACTCCTCCCAACTCAATTGAAGTTAATCTAAGACAATCCAACTCAACTCAGCTCTACTCAACTCAACTCAGTTTAACCTTACTCAACTCAACCTAATTTAACCTTCCCCAGCCCAACCCAACTCAACCCAATTGAATCTGACCAAACCCAACTCAACTCCTCCCAACTCAATTGAAGTTAATCTAAGACAATCCAACTCAACTCAGCTCTACTCAACTCAACTCAGTTTAACCTTACTCAACTCAACCTAATTTAACCTTCCCCAGCCCAACCCAACTCAACCCAATTGAATCTGACCAAACCCAACTCAACTCATCCCAACTCAATTGAAGTTAATCTAAGTCAATCCAACTCAACTCAGCTCTACTCAACTCAACTCAGTTTAACCTTACTCAACTCAACCTAATTTAACCTTCCCCAGCCCAACCCAACTCAACCCAATTGAATCTGACCAAACCCAAATCAACTCATCCCAACTCAATTGACGTTAATCTAAGCCAAGCCAACTCTTTACTCAACTCAACACAATTTAACCGTACTCAATTCAACCCAACTCAACCCAATTGAATCTG